CCTACAATGTCAAATAAAATGTTCCTTCCCTATAGTTCCTTACGTCCAACAAGAAGGCAGTTCCCTAGAGTTATGCCTTTGTCAAAGCCAGGTAGGGTGATGTTTTGTCTCATTTCTTGACCAGTACATACAGTACTTGTGGTCTGTCTGTGTCTGAACTCTACCTCTTGTCTCTCCCCAGTGCCCGCCACTAAACTGAACACGCTGACACGCTCCACTGCTGGCCCCTGTCACTGCAAATATGACCTTATGGCATTCTTTGAGATCTGTGAGCTGGAGGCCAATGGAGAGTGAGTATCTGAAAACACATTTTGGTATATCAGTTCCTAGTTATTCATTGAATCCTATATGTATGGTAGGTTATTCATATATAATATAACCCTTGTACCTGTTTGTGTACTTTTTTTTTTAGCTACATCCCAGCTGTTGTTGATCACAGGGGTGGAATGCCCTGCCATGGTACATTCCTGTTGCACCAGGTAAACATGAATCCATCTTTCTGTCCCTATTAACCCCTTTAATGGTAGTACAGATTAGGCATGGGCCGATTACCTGTTTCAAGGTATACCGTGATTTGAAAATTTCACGGTTTCAAAACCGCTAATATTTTCCGTTACACCGTTCCTGCTGTATGCGCTGTTTTTCATGTCTCCTCAACGACTGAAAGTGTAGGAATCCCTCAGCTTGAGTGCAGTGTAGAGAGTAACACGACCCTCCTGTTGGTGCGAGCGTGGTCAGTCACGTGTGTGTAGGATGGCCGAACTTATGGAGCTTCCCCTGGAACTCACGCGATCGGCAACCGGACGTTTTTTGTCTTATTGCAAGCAACTCGTCTCTGTTCTGGACTTGCACAAACTGCATTGCAATGCAATCGTTTTCCAAAATGTCATTTATGTGAAAATATGAAGTCTGTAAACATCCTTTAACACAGGCCAGAGATGCTGAGGACGGACGCAAAGAGAAAAATACTGTAGCAGGCAGATCACTCACTGTTCATGATGCACGAACTATTGGAAGAAAATCCTCAATATTGATTTTGGGGGTTTATATGATTGTGTTTCTGAGGGGAACTGACTGTCTTCAGAAAAGTTTACGTGGTATTTTCTTTTCATCTCGTCTCTGTATAGTTCATATTAAAGCAGTTTCAGTGCAGTGCTGCTTTGTTTACAGTGGTAACCAAGGAAACGCTGTAACTGGTGTTCCAGAAGCGCCTCCTGCTGTCAGAGAGTGAATCTGCGTCTCATTCAGAGCTTCTGCTGTTTGCTTTGTTCAGGCATGTAGTATAATTTCACAAAGCTAGTCAGAACATTCTGTTTTTGCTTCAAATTGGGTTATTATTAAATCAAATTATGTATATGAAATGATATAACTAAATGATATGAAATTATATAAATTATATGTATATGAATTATATAACTAAAATTAAATAACTGTAATTACAGATTAGGTTAAATAAAGACATTTCTTTTTTTTTTTGTCTTTATTTCTCTTCTTTTTAAGAAACAAATCAAAGAAAAAATAAACAAATTCTACTGTTCCTAATATTCGGTATGTTGCTCAAAAACAAAATATATTGTGTTCACCTGAAAAAAAGTTTTTTTTTTTTTTTACCCAGTCATTTAAAAATAACAAATTTTAGAGCTGTAACGACAATACCGTGATTCCGTGAAACCGTGATATTTTTGCTTAAGGTTATCATACCGTCAAAATCTCATACCGGCCCATGCCTATTCCTTATTAATTAAATAATAATCTAATGATAAAAAAGAATGTCAAATTAATTTTAAATAAATGATTAGGCTAACATTTTAACAATAATAGGGCCATAGATGTTTTAATTACTCAGAAATTCTGTTGTCTTTTTTTTGGTTCATGATTTATTAAAAATTTTATTTTAAAAATGGTGGTAATCAAATAAAGGCATTAAGAATTGATTCTTTCAAAATGTAAATCTTTCAAATTAAAATGTAACAATTCCTTTTATTCTTTTGGCAAACAAAGTGCTTCACAGCAGAGGATTCCTATTAAAATTATGGAAGAAAAAGTTCCATAATGAAAAAATGATAAAAATAATTTTATCATTATTATTAGGCTACTTTGAGGAGTACATTACACTGTACAATAGTACCACATTTCTGTCACAGTTTCTTCAAGTTAAACCAAATGTTATTTTGAAGGGCTCCCATGAAGACTTTTCTATATTATATGACAACAGTTTTTATCAAATAAAATGGTGAAATAGGCCTACTAGTGAAATGAACTCTCAGTGAAGCTCTGGAGATAAAGTTCATCTGCTGATCCGCCGTAATGTGAACACTGTCGAGCCGCTGCCTTTTAGACACAATCACAGGCACAGGCCACAGCATAACAAAGCACACAAGGGCTCTAGTGAGCAGCCCACTTCTGACCTGACCATGCGTAAACACACACAGAGGCAATAATCCCGGTGGCTCCGTTATGCTGCAGCCTACTGCTGAGATAAGAGGTGTGCTGCCCTGGAGAGCATTTAATCTTTAACCAGCAACAGATTTGCCTATCAGCTCATTAAAGCAGTCCAGATCTGCAGGACAGAGTTATCTACTGTCTTTCATCTGGAATTACCCATGTATGTGCGTGACTCATACTAACATGGTCCTTGGGGAGAATGTGTGAGGAATACACACAGACATACAAACACATGCTTGACCCTGAATGACTGGTTTTATCACTGTAGTCTGAAAAGATGAGATGACACACAGTTCCACACACACACACACACACACACACACACACACACACACTCTCTGCTCATATGCTGACCGACACATGAGATAATTTCACAACATTCATCCTTATTTACAATACCTGCTAGTGCAGGGGTCTCTTTTTCAGGCCTAGGACATTTTGGTGGATAGAGAGACAGAGTACGTGGCAAACTGTACAAAAGACTTTAGCCTACAATAACATGCAAATGGTACCACATTGATGTACGCCTCATAAAAAAGTACGTAAATACATTGCAGAAACTGTAAAATGTACTAGATCTCCTGTGCTAGTTTGCCCAATTATCAAATTAAACCTGTGATGAATGAGAAGCACATTATGATCAGAAGATAAAGAGTTGAATTATGAGTAATGTGACAATTCTGAAAAGTCACTCATGCTTTCTGGTATCACCAGATATGAGACTGATAAATGCTACTGGAGAGAATGAAATACATGAGCTACTTTAGCCTTGCAGCTTTACACACAGATACACACACACCATATGACATTCAGCGGATCTGGCAGCTGGCTGTGGCACTTCCAGGTGGTTCATAATGAAGCCTTTCTCCTGTGTGTGTGTGTGTGTGTGTCTCCCATGTACACAGCCTATTATAAACAGCAATTGCAGAACAACAGTGTGTGAGCACTGCAGGGAGTGAGGAATTCTGCCTTTTTATGTATTGTGTGGGTGTAGAGGATTTTGGGCCACCACTGTTGTAGCCCCTAAGGGTTTCCTGTCAGCTGAGGACAGTAGACTAGTGTAGGCATTACGAAGACTGAGCCGTAAGTGACACGGTGACGTTAAACTCTTCCAAACTGCCCCGCTGTTTCACCCCAGTGACCCCACCGCATGACCCTCAAGCCCTCCGACACACTTACACACCAAGACATGATGTTCACAGACCTGGACAACACACATAGAGTGAGTGCTATGTTGTATGAACCTCAGGCTGATAAGACAAGGTCCGGGCATGTGTGTGTCTTATCTCAGGCTTCAGTGCCACACTCGCTGCGTTTGTTTAGCCGTGTCTTATCGCCACCAGAGGGATTACAGCAGCTACTGTCACACACTGCTGCTGTGTTCTCAACACTTGCGTCTGGGGCCAAAACTGCTTTTATGTAACTAATATCACACAGACACACCAGCTCAAATCCACTGAGTCGTCCATAGGCCTGGGAGATAAAACGGTAACGATATTTATCGACGGTACACCTTCTTCGATAACGATATAAAAAATGTTCGATATAGTGCACGATATAGGCACGTGCAGAACGCATATTCAGCGTATTTTTAGACAGACAAAATTATGACTGCTGCACTCGTGTCTCACACAAGAGATGTAGCCATGCAAAGTTAAAACAGTTTAAACTTTTAGAAAACACGTCGCGAATTTATGGAGGTTTATTCCTTTTCACTGCGTCTCTTATGTTTTTAAATGCAATCTGCGTGATGGGCGATTCGGCTTTTTGTATTAAGCAATACATAAATACATGATGCTGTTTTGTTCATAATTGTTTATGCAATTTACTAAATTATATTTGATTTATATGAGTTAATTTAGACGTAATGCAGCTTTTTTTTATAGACAGTTATTTCCTTGCGTTGACAATTTAAATGTGCTGCATTATTTTGCTCATTGCGCCCTCGTGTGGCCTCGGGAGACAAGCCAAAAGTTTCCTTAAAACCTATTTAATCTGCATATAAAACATTAGAAATTTGACTGTTAAAACTAAAAATATTTGTTGTTTGTCTCAATAAATTGGGTTATTTTAACAATACAGTGGTTAAATAAAAAAAAAAAAATGATCGATACCGAACGATATGAAACATTATATCGTTGATACATTTTTTAGCTATATCGCCCAGCCCTAGTCGTCCATCCAGTGTCCCCTAATAACTAATGACAACCAAAAGACCCCACAATTTAACAACATGAAATCTGTTTACTTTCTGAATAAATGTCTCTTCCTATTTGTTATATATATATCAGGCATTCACAATCATTTTGGTGACCACGCTTTAAAGAGTGTCATATTTGGTCATTCAACTTTCCTAAAAACCTAAAAATGCCATGCCCTTACTTGTTTTGTGAAAGCAGAGATAACTCTCTGTTTTAAACTTCAGTAGCAAAATTTTAGATGTTTGAGTTCATTCATTTGTGTCATCCCTCAAAAAGCCAGTCTCCTTAAACTCTCTAATTTTTTTTACTGTACTTTACAATAGGGGTGCTCCGATCAGGATTTTTGAGGCCGATCACCGATCACAGAAAGCAGTACCTGCCGATACCGATCACCGATACCGATCTTTTTAAAGCCGCCT